TTTCTGTAGGGCCTAATAAGGCCAGTTTTTTTNTTATGATATTATTGTGATTAACTGATTTTACTATTAGCCATTAATACTACGCAATAGGTAAAATTATTTTTGTCGTAAAAATTGCATTTTGAAATGTCATTTTTTATAAAATATAATGATATACTGATTTACCTACACTAAAAGTCACGAGTAGTGAGTACCCACAGATAATATTTTTAAATTACAACAAAATAACTAGAAATGTTATTCTTGGTTTTAATATATAATTTTATCTTGTAAAAAACCGTACTTATCTAATGCTTATAAACCTTAAATATTTTTCAACAGCTATTGACTTATGATACATTTTGTATTAAACTTTCAAGGTTTTTGACTCAACAAATAACATTTAATTGATATTTAAAGAAAAAAAAATTGAAAAAATCGCACAATTGAATACTAACAGATCAAAATAAATCAGAATATTTTGAAAATGTTATCAATAATATACAAAATGATACATTTTAACATATAGGTACTGTGAATTTCAAGTATCTAATATTGAATAATTGTTGTTTTTGAATTACAATAAAATAAGAAAATAGCTCCATGAGAAATCGAGTAAATATCTCAATGTTGTCAATATATGAACTTTCGATGATCATATAAAATTATTGTGGGTTTATTAGTTTAAAAAAAATAATAATAATCGACAATTTCATCTGCCCATAAATAGCTCAACAAGAGCCAAAATCGTATGGTGTATAGAAAATGCTAATATAAACATTCACTAAAAAATGCATGTATTTAGGGTAATTTTTTATTGAGTTATCTAGACGAAAAAAAATAAAAACACATCATTATAAAATCAATACATTCATCACTCCGATCAGAATCTAAAATGTCACACATTCTTTTTCATTGAGTTTTACTGTAATAGTACCTACTAGTGGGATGTATCATGCATGTAACGGATATAAGAAGAGGCAAAATTAAAAGTATGGCCATAAATGATTGCCATTAATATAATTTAGAAGGGGGTGGGCAAGATTTTATAATTATGTTTGTACATTTATATTATAATATATTGTAATTTAATACATTTTAAATTTGTTTTGATTAATTCTCACATCATGGCCAACCAGACTGCCAGACATTCAGACACACCAGTCGTGTCATTTCTAAATATTTGTGATCCTCGACTCGTGCCTAATTTACCGACAATTCGCCGGTACGAATCAATGAGCACCAATTGTAAATGGGAAAGCTCCTAGTTCCCACACAGCTGCTCACTGGTTAGTGTGGCTTATACAGTTATACAATTCAATATTGGCTTGCGAGTACGCCAGCTGGCTTAAATATAAAATAATAACGTTAGGTATTACCGCGTTGGTAATAATTTGTGTAGGTATATTAAAAACTACAGTATTTATTATATTTATATACTTATACGTTTTAATATTATATTATTAAAATACCTATATAAGTAGTATTTATACATAAACAATGGTTGATTGGCTATACAAAAATAATAAGAGTATTAAATATAAATAATAATAAAACCTTAAAAATATTCATTAATGTAGACATGTAGTAGACAGTTGTATATAATATTAGGTGTAGTCGGTACCCATAGATAATATTATGTACGATGTACATTTGTAGACAAATATATTTAATATATCTATAATATTATGCAGAAACAAATATAATTAAAATTATTTTACTACGACCCTGGTTAAAATGAAACCTGTCTAAAATAGAAAAAATGTAGATAATTTCCATATATCAAGCATACAGGTTTTACTGGTTATATTATTGTTTACCGACATGTTATAATGGCATAACTAATGCATAATGCCGTACATATTTCTAGTAGGTATGCCAAGATCTTTAAAACGTTTAAATGTATTACTTATGTAATTATGTATTATGTTATTGTTCATATTTTAATCCCACAAGTAACTAACATACATGATACACGTCACACGACTACACGAGTAAACTTTGAAAAAAATATTCAGATCGTAGATCAAGTAATATGTAGGCCTGTGCAAAATTGTATTTCTTTACAATTAACGAATACTTCAATTATTGGCTTAAGTACATTTTCTTAGACGTTCGGCGTCACTGATTATAATAAAAACAAGTATAATATTATGGACTATGGAACCACAGAGGAATTGTTTATAATTTTGGATATAATTTTCAAATAATTACGTATTTACATATACCTACATTCATCGTAATAATTTTTATACGCTCATTCTTATCATATTTTCTTTAATCTGATAATTATTATAGTTGACATTTTGCCAAAAATAATTACGACATATTTCTGTAGGGCCTAATAAGGCCAGTTTTTTTAAAAATCATATGAACTAGACAAATTAAAATATAAAATGAACTCCGCCATTTTTTGTGGGACTTTGAGAGTATGTTTTTGTTGGATAATCATGTTTCTACAAACAACGAGGCCCAACGCACAAGTACTATTGTAAAAACAAACGTACCAATATTTTCGGTTTAAAAATTACGATGTTAAAATCGTGCGAATGTACTTAGAGCGCTCAGGCAGCCAAACGAGGTAGTATAACAGCTACGTTTAACTGTTTCAGTTAAGTCGCAGTTTTTACTTTTTAGTCATTCAAGAACAGACAACAGTTGTTTTTTATACCATATACTGATGTAATAGCAGTTCCACACAACACAAAAGTACCTACCGGTTTGTATACAAGCTGTTTATAAAATAAATATCAAAATAGTCAATAAAAAACAAATGTTATGTTTGTTTTATTTTATTTAACAATGATCCTAGTTTGTATTACCATACGATTATATAGAAATGACATTATATGAAATTATCTTGATTTTAAACTTTTATTAGAGTTTTAACCTGCAGTGATCTACTGATCTGAAGTCTAAACCTCCGAGAAACATGGAAACGAACCCGGGTACGTATCTGAGGTTTGAAATTTGTTAGGCGGAGTTAGTTATAATTATGAAAACGTTTTTTTGCAACCACGTTTAAGGCCAAAATCGTCCGATTCGACCAAACTACAACATTTAGTAATAAGCCATGTCACATAATATACTTTATTACTTTAGTATAGTGCAGCCTTCTAAATCATAGCAGTTTAGTTTATAACATATAACTTACATATCTTAAAATTAATATTAAGCTACTAAAAAATGTATGATTTGAATAATTAATTTTAATTTTAACTTTTAGGAAATTTTATGATAAAACGAATATTTTTAAACTTTGTATCAAACTTACCTATGTATTGTTGTAAAGGTAATTATTGTTGTGCTGCCTACAGTCAATGGTAAATTGGTAAATTGGTAAGTTAACAGTGGTTCAATAGAATAGGTGTCACACAATATAGTAAATAATTGAAATAGTCGTACTCGTTCACTTAATAAGCTCCTAACTCGTGATTAATATTTATAACATATGTAATACCTCATATTATAAGCATCCCCAACACGGTAAGATGCATAAAATGCACGAAAAAAATATAGTTTATTTACGATAATAGTCAAGCACTAGAGGCCAAGGCGTCTGGATTCTGGAGCTGTAAATCTTAATACAGATTATGAGCGCGGAGTAATGGGTAACATTTTGCAGATACGTCATATTATTCCACTCTATACCGCTCATATAAACTTGAACAATATATTCTGTGGACTGTGGTCATGACAATATACGTATGCCGATAATCTTAGATCATATGATCTAAGGCGATAATAAGACATGAAAACCAGTCTATTTATAGAATTCTTGTATTGATACAATGATATCTGTTAATAAACTAATACAATAATAATTTTATATATCTTAATTCCTAATATTATTATTGTATTAGTTTATTACTTATTGGTTATAGCTACCTTGCTGACTACATGTTTTTAGTTTTATGTTTATTGAAAACATTTAAAATTGTTATTTATTTTTGTACGTTACTTAATTTGTTTTTTTTTTTCATTAAAAACTAAATGGCTTCAAGGCAATATTTGAATAGGGCTCAAAAATTAAAATTAAAATTAAAAAAATTAAAGAACTTAAATTAAAAGAGTCATTAGATGATTTTATAAAACCACAATTACTTGATTACCTGAAAATCTAAACACTAAACCTATCAAAGGTATGTTTTTAATAATAATAATTAATTTATTGCAATTAATGTAAAAGCGCTATGTAACCATCATACTCATACAGTCATACATTACTTGTTGGGACTTTTTTCTGTAGGTAAATAAAAATTTTTGTTTTTTAGTTTAATTTTAAAATAAAGTAATAAAATATAATAAGTAACCATCATTTAAAATTGTATTTTTTGTACAGAAGTTGTGTATAATTGTAATATTAACGACACCGATAATGACAATACGAATTATGCATGTGTATCTAAATCAACTGAATCGGTTGTTGTTATTGCAGAAGTAGTTAATGTTACTGATGATGAAACATTATTGTTAATGCAAATATTATTGGTAAATGTAAATAATATAATTCAATTTTGATTTTTGTTTTTTGGTGTAGTAGATCATTGAATTTAAAGCATGAATATCCAACTCATGGAGGTCATTTTAACGAAAATATCAATGATAGTTATATTAAAACATCTATTTTGGCTTATGAACCCTGTCGACCAAATATAGCTTTTCCTAGTGGCTAGTAGTACACTTGAAGATGTTAATACCCATAAATTCTTTTCTTACTTTTACTCAATAACATTAAAATCTAGTGTTCCAAGATCCAAGATTTTAGTTGTGTTACTCAGTTGGATTAAATGTTGCCTATTGTAAATTTATAAAACATGTTGGTTTTACTTATTTGCCAACTGAAATTATTTATTAATTTATAAATTAATATTAAATACGGGACGAGCCCACTTACATTGTACTGTATTAAATAATAATTTAAAGAAAATTACAAAAAATTAAGAATGAACAGACAATAATTACACTAAATATACCGTGGGGATTGTGGGTCCTAATTGGCCAGTTACATCCGCCGGTTGTCATTTGCGCATCGCTATTGTTAATTTAGACCTTTTTTGTAAGACATTTGCGCATCGTTCGATTTTTGGGTTATATATCATTTGCGCATCAGCCGTTTAAAAGGTCTTACATCATTTGCGCATCAATATTATTTAACAATAGAATTTTAAAAAAGGTGTACACCCAAAAGTGCTAGTTGTTTTCTAACTTTGATCTTGAAATTCATTCATCAACTTTCAAATATTGTACAGATATTTCTGTTTTAAAATATGTTTGACGACGCATATGGTAGAGAGAAATGGAGAGATTTTGTGATAGCAGCGATGGCACTTAATGGGCCGATAAGCTGAGAATATTGAGATAATATTGTGTAGGATTATCATTATAGTTAGCAATAACATAACTAAGATAAAAAAATTGTTATGCCTCAATAAAAATTGATGAACATTGAAGATTTATTCAATTTATTTTAATTATATGGGTTTGTTTATTACATATGATTTATGAAAATCATTACATTTTCAATGAAAAACTATTTTTTATACAATTCTATTGTTCAGCATGTTGATGCGCATTTGATGTATAATAATTTGGTGCAGGTAAAACGGACAATGCTCAAACGATAATTAGCGCTGATGCGCAAATGATGTACGATATTTTGGCACAGGTAAACAGACGATGCGCAAATGATGTACGGCCGTTACATCATAGGTACGGACAATAGGACGATTAGTAAAATTACAGCGGCTAAAAAGAATGCGGAAAGGGAAAAAGTATCTGGAACAAAAAGTAGGAACTCTGAAATTAGATAGGAGGACTAGGGCATTAATAAGTTTAGAAAAAACTTAGAAACGTTAGATTGCCTTGTTTCATCCTATCACATGGGCCATGGGGTAAACAAAAGGAGTAGCTGCAACACTGGTTCATAATCGTGAGGTAAGGTTAGGTACGCCAAATGCGAAAGCAGCAAATTTCAAAAATTTACCCTGAACGGTCAAAACTCTTTCAAGTTGACAACTACCATCAATTGTGCATGGTTAACAAATAATGATACCATATCAATCAATCTCATAAAAAAAACCCTTAAAAATTGTCGATGTTGTTCTGAGTTCATACGATATAATCGTTGTTTTAATTATACAGGTTAAATGTTTGATCAGTGATATTATAAATTACTAATTTTGTCGAAAAAAAAAATATCCAAGTCATGCGTTTTCGAGCTTATTATGTATAGCGACTTTAATATATCTGGTTTTCAATTTTTTATTTATGTAAAATATAGTATTACGAATACGAATTATATTATTTAGTTGCAAAATATTCAAAATAATTTTAATATTAATATTTCCGTATTTGTTATTAGAGTACTTATATGTATAATATAAACAATATACGGCTAGAAAATCCTGTTTAGAACCATGGAGCGGTACTGCTATTATTGCTTGCGGGGTGAAGCGGGCGTTTAGAAATTATAACGCTGAGTATCCAAGGCTGCCGCTGTGTACAGGCGCAACACATGTCGAACGTGATCAAACTTTTTTTTTACCTAATAACACGGTTTTGTAATTCGAGTAATACTGCTTTCTAGAGGGTTTTACAATAAAAACATAAACTAGAAAAATTGTTGAGAAGAATTTTTCGTAGAATCGTAGGAAGCCAGATTTGTGATATCGTATATTCAATCGTCCAATGACCAAAATACCACTATAAATTTAAAGTTTTTTTACTTTTTATAATTTAAGTATTTCAACAAATTAATAAAAATATTTATTTTTATATATCTATATTTTCTCTTCCACAATTTCCATACTAAATATTTACGCTGTGAACCCCTCCAGTACTCAGTAGGCAGTACCTAAGCCATACACTTTAAGTACGAAACCAAGTTCTAAATCCATATTATTTTCACTGTTAATTTTAATTTTGAGGTGCCAGGCTGACAAGTGACGGACCTCTATTGCGCTCTCTTAAGTTAAGAAAGTTGTTAAGCGGGATACCAGGGTCATACGCACTCACTCATACTACAATTACTTGCCAATTTCGGTTGTTAATTTATAATCAGGGGCCATATTACCATTAATTACATAATTAAATCCCACTGGCCACTAGATCTATTACTATATAATACCATCAATATAGTTTTTCAATTGGTTAAATACTAGCTGATCCTGAACTATGTTTCCTGAGACGAATTAAATGCCCGTTTGGCCTTGGACTACCCGTTCTTAATTTCCATTAAATGTTAACTACAAAGATTTTCAACCCAGTTGCTTTGACAAAATTTAAAATATAGGCCTAAAATAATTTCCAATCATGATAATTATTTTATTTTTTGAAACTAATGGCAACTATATTATATCAATGAAAAACTGATTATTTTTCACGAAATCCATTACAGTAGAAACTCGATTACCAGTCACTCGATTTACCGTCAGTTTCTGTTATCCGTCATCGGTCATCGTCAAAAAAAAGTTTATGTGTAGGTAATGCGATAGCGATAAAAACGTCGCGGTACCTAACGCGACGACTATCATATGTATAACAATAGTGATGATTAAATGATGATCAAATTATTTTTAATGTCACTACCGTTGACGAAGAAGTTGATGACGACGTCGAAGATTCAGTACTTGACTTAAAACCATCAACTAGTCACGCAGAAGTAGAAGCAATGTTATCAAAATGCATTGATTGGTTTGACTGTTTGAGGTACAACAGGAGGCAAATGCAACGCAGGTCTTACTTCTTCGTAAAATACGAAACATGTGTATGTCAAACAATTTAAAGTTAAATGCTCAAATTTAGAAGTAATTTAATCAATATTGTTTTTAATTGACAATTTTTGTTAAGTTCTTATTAGTATTTACATATACATAGTATACATAGTTAGTAGTTACAGACAATATAAACGTACTTATTATACACTCTTCAAGCAAAAAATAAAACATAAACATGAGTTCATTTTGAGTGGGATCTAATACATACTAGGTCGACTATAGGTCGTAAAATTAAATTTATTTATTAGATAAATTGACTGGACTAGGCATTCCGTGGGATTGTATAGTTGATCCTGTGGGAATAACTGTTAGTTCTGCTATCTGCGAAAAAATTACAAACATATTATATACATAATATAGATTCGTTGATTCGTCGAATATCGGAATATTATACATTGACTATTGATATTATCTAATTGTAACTTAAAATACAAACTTCCACACTGGGAGGCGTCTCCAAAGTAGCGATCACCATGGCTGCTACATCTTCCGGTTTCAAAGCTGGTCTTGAACTGACGACCTGAGATGATGGTCTGAATTTTGCGGTGTTGAAAATTTCCGTATCCACGCTACCCGGGCTGATACTCTGAAATACAATTTTTTTTAAATTATCTATATACATACTCAACGTACAAGATAACATATCAAATATGTATAGTTATTAATAATAGTGGTCAAGGGACAAAAAGTCCGTGGAATAAAATTAATATATTATTGATATTATTACGGCGCCGGGGTAGGCAACTTATCGCTATTCCCATATTTTATTTTACAATACTGGTGTCGGGTTGAACCACTCACAACAACAAGATAATAATAAAGTGTAGCGATAAAAATGTATGTATTATAGTTAATTCAAAACTTGATTGATATGTAATTAAAAATGTTGAATCGGTAGGTACTTAAAAATAATTGTGTATGAAACGAATAATATTGGGGAGCTAATCAAATAAGTGGTCTGCAGTAGACGAAGAGAAAGGCAGTAGCGCCGAATCCATGTATCAAGAGCGACAGCCGCTCCCTTGTTAGAATTGGTGGGTGGGTGAAATGTGAATTTGTTTATTGGGATTTGGGAATAACATTGTCCTTCAGAATCTCTATAAATTCACTGTATGCTACTATTGTAAATAACAACACTAAATATAGATTAAATTTATATTTATGGTACAGACGTGAAAATATACCCATCGTCGATTGAGTCAGCCACTCAGTCAAATGTCAAATGTCGAAAGGGATTACTGGAAAATGTTAAAGAACACAATCTATGTGCTATTTAATATGTGTGTGTGGTGGCTTGGTGCTATACGCATCGACTGAGTTTAATTCGTGTAGGTGTGGTAAGTTGTTGAACAGATACACAGAAGTTAACGACTCTGTTTGAATTGCTTGTGTGGGCAAGCTATTTCAATCCCATTGCCCCCCCCCCTCCCAAATAAAATTTAGTTTGGTGCCACTGCGAAGAGGGACCGAAGAACGAGTATGGCAGCAAAAGTATCATTGAAATATTGACACGATTTAGTATTTCGGGTCAGTAGATTCACCTGTCTCACAAATCGAAAGCGAGCAGTTTTTTGTTACATTTGATACCGCTTTATTAATTATATTAAGCATTACGAATTAAGACATACTAATCAATATATTAGAATACCTACTTATTATCGAATTAGTCGGCGTCAATAATCATTATGCAAGCATAATGTATTATATTATCTATTACGGCGATTAGAGGTGATGGTATTATTATATATATACCTACTATTATACAGACATTATACTGTATTAGGTACACATGCGCAGAGATTCATATGTACTAGTCATAATATGTGGGTACAAAACGTGTATAACAAAAATAATATCATAAATAATTTTTAAAAAAATGTCGTGTTAATAGGGGTCTGAGATCTCAAATATGTATTCATAATACACGTATAGGTATATCAAGTTTTTTTTACTAGCCTTTATAAAAAATTTAGCTCCACAATTAAAGTATCTTACAGCTAAAAATGCGAAATTACAGTTAAATAGCTGCAACCAGCTGTAAGTATATCGCAGAACTCACCGATACTTTGATTTTTGAATTTACAAGACTAAGTTCGTGTCGAAGACCTTCGCACAACACCGTAATGGCTCTTTTAGAAGCGTTGTACATTTTGTGCGCGTAATACGGAGTGATAGAATGACCGCCAATACTATGGATACATAGGCATAAATGCATTATAATATCAAAATAGGCATACGATTAAATATATATTACTTATTAATTATTAGTTATTATCGTTATACATTTATAATAATTAATAATAATACATGCGAGATGTGCATCAATATAAAACGAACAAAACTTATTTGTTCGATAAATATATTGGGCGGCACAAGCCTGCATTGCAGGGGTATAGCCGGTATAGTTATATTATATTTAGGTAATAAACTGTATTATCAATGAATAAACATTTACACATTATAATATAATGAGTTGCGAATTACTTACATAAGATCAATGTCACATATCATATGAGTATATTTATACTATATGTCTATATTATGACATTAGAAGTAGTATAACATTTCATAATATTATTACAATTATTGGATTATCAAGTGACAAAACGATTTTGTTCTCACCACATATTTTCTATTAAATGTTTGTATTGTATTTACCTGTTTATTTGAACAATGTGCCCGTTAATATTGTTCGTAGACATCGATCGGTACGCTTCTCTCGAACACACACATTGAGCAAACACATTGATGTTTATAAAACATTTCCAATCTTTCAACGTACCGTCTAATGAGTCCAATGTAGTTTACAACAACATAAAATTACGTTAATATAATTTTTTTAAAACATACGTGATTACAGCTGCATATATGTATTGTTAGTACCTACTACCTAATATAATAGGTGACTTCTATTCATATATTATACCTAACTAATAGTGCCGAAACCAAATTAGCCAATCTGTATAGATTCTCCTTTAATACACCTTTAATAGTGGGAGCAACTAATTATACAAGTAGATAATATGATTGTCAATTGTCATTGATATCGTATGAATTTGAAACATTATAGTCCGTCTTAAGAGGACGCTATACCCGGTGTGTTATCTCCGTTTTACAAGAGCGCAACGTATCAAATTTTTCGTTCAGCAGATCACGTTTAGTTCAGTTAGCTTAAAAATTAGAGTGCAGAATTAACTTCTTATTAAAATTAAAAGTAAGATTATTACGGAGGACTCCTCGTAGGCTTTTTATTATATTTTAATTTTAAAGAGAGTTATGAGTATTTTAAGTTGTACAAACAATTTACAATTTTTAAATACTCATAACTCTCTTTAAAATTAAAATATAATAAAAAATCCATGAGAAGCCCTCCTTAATAATTTTACCTTTAATTTTAATAAGAAGTCAATTCTTCACTCTAATTTTTAAGCTAACTGAGCTCAACGTGATCTACTGAACGTAAAATTTGATATGTTTCTGCTCTTGTAAGACGGAGACAACACATGCGGGTATAGCGTCCTCTTAATCAAAATTGTAAGAAAATTATATTGTTTGTCACTTTATACAAATAATCCAAAATCCCAACAATTATGTGGTAATTTCTATAGAAACCATTTCTACTGATGAATTAACAATACAATTTGTGAAGGGTAGATGATGGAGATGAGGCAAAAAATACAAATACCTAGGCAATAATGAATAAGTACAGGTATTATGTGAAAAGTTACAACAGAGATTTGAAGAATTTGGAGCAAAAACCAACAGTAGTTATCCTTTCAAATTTAACGGCTGTGATCATATTGGAGATATCTGTTTCAGAATTTCAAGTTTAAAAAGAAAAAATTTAGAAAAAAAAATTAAAATCAAGAGAAAAGAGTGATAAATTCAACAGCAAATAATGCAAGCACGAAACCTTTGATTGTGAAAATAGTGTTTATTTTTCAATAATTGGAGATCGATTAAGACCGTTGAAGATTCGATTACAAATTTTGTTTCACTAATTAAAATAATTATGTTGATAAAAAGCAATACCAATTTGACATTTATAATAGAGTTGAAAAATCTGAACAAAGTCTTTGTTTCCAAAAATTCAAAATAGTTATTATTTGTTTTTAGTTTTATTTCACCTGTTGTATAATTATCTATCCGATAACAATAACATTAAGTTTATTTAAATTCGGTGGCTTGGCAATCGGCCGGATGATACCTTAACACACCTATGTATATTGTATATTAAAATATGGTACTTGCCCAACAGACTACTTCGCAATATGATGCCAGCGTTGTTGACCAACACGCTGACGCCACCGAGCGCAGCGTCCACCCAACCAAACACATCTTGTACTGCTCGTTCGTCGGTGATGTCGCAGGTCTTGGGATAGAAAATTCCTCGCCGGCTGCCTTCCTGAGTTGAGACGTCTTCTAACGAATTTGCCAATTTCTAAGTGGCAACCAATATTATTTATATTTCACATATTATTAATTATAATGTCGCGTGACGAAGGGTGTAGTACATAGGTATTAAGTACCTATGTGTATATCAATATATTATATACAAATAAGGAGATCAAACCTATGTGGCAGGTGGGGGGGGGGGATTATGATTAAGATACTAAAAAAAGTTAAGCGTTGCACACTTTAATGACAAACATATATTTGTATATCGTGAATTGGTTCCAATTAGATAGGCATCTCGTAAGCCATGGCATCAAGGTTAAATAAAATATGTTCTTATAGTTTTGTAGTGTTATTGTTACGTGTAAATAGTAAATACCATTCGATATAAATGAACTCAGCATGCTGCAGTATTTAATTAAATTTGTCAGCTTGAATCCGGGCAGGTTACTCATCTTTGCCTCTGGAAATCTGGTACAATGCCCGACCAATGTATGAACAATTTGAGTACCTACTAACATCTTACTTCTTACATTTCCCAAAATGTGTTCGGGCGTTGTTATGCAATGCCCGGATTTCCTACTTTGACCTTAACATAATTGTCATAATATTATGTATGAGAACGGAGGTCAACAAATGCTGCATAGTATCTATAATCTTTAATACACTAATGTCTAATTCTTACACTTTGCCTTTATCTGGCCACTAGACATAAATACCTAATATACCAATATGATGGTTTTAATTGGAACAATTAATTCCGTGCAATAATTTATTTAGGTATACGTTCAACGATTTGTGAAAAATTAACTGTAACTTGAGAATACTATATTAGTATACTATAAACATCAAATAATGCTCTGAGTAGCAAAATTTTGTAAAATCATGAAAAAATAAAAATAAAATGTAAAATAAAATCACATTAAAATAATAGTTTCACCTAAAATACATTCTCGACCTAAAGAGCTATGTTTAACAAAACCAGAAAAAGAAATGACATTGCATCAAAATAGACTCGAGATAACAGTAATAATCGGTCAACTTTTTTGTTTCCAACAAAAAATAAACTATTTAAATTTTGGATTCTATGTGAAAAACTTTCCTGAGACTTTTTTCCTAATCTTCCCATATTAAGTATACATCGTACAAGACATACATGACACACCCATATCCTATCTTGTGTCATTACGAATATAGTTAATAACCCCCTTCTCACATAAACACACGCACTCTCTCTGACTCTCTCTCTCTCTCTCTCTTTCAGTAGCGTATTTATTCAATGTGTGCAATGGTTGGAAATGTGGAATCAATAATGATCATGCACGTGGTTTGGACAGTCTGGCGAGTTTATAAACCTTTTTTTTGTATTCAAAATAATTGAATAGAGAATTTTCTCGTCGATATTGACCTACTGCAGTTGCTCCTATCTCGTCGATACTGACCATGGCCATAACCCCTTGAAATATCCCATGTAAATACGCCACTGCCTGTTATTCCCTTTATAGTTTTTGTATGGCTGTATATATACACAGATATATTTTAACATAGACTATATATTGTGTACACTGTACACAATTACTGATTAGGAAGAAAAAAACTAGGTAAGTACCTCAAGCTTTTCCGACTGGATGTCCAACCCGACTACGTTTACTCCTTGTCGGAGCAGCTCTACTGACGTGGCCGCTCCTATGCCCGATCCGGCACCTGTGACGATCGCGTTTCTGCCTTTCCACTGGTCCATTTTAATGTACTGCAGACACGGTGGTCGGTGCTGCAATTTTATAGTTATGTTACTCATTGAGTTATTTGAAGAGTAATTGATATTGTCTATAGCCTAACTTTTTATAAGTCAAAAAACGAGTTTTTAATATTTTTTTTAGGTTCACGTATCGACCGAATGTTAGTTTAGACGCGAGACTCGACAATATGTAAGGGAGCCAATGGGTATAAATATTAACGGTGTCTCATTAACTAACAGGAAGGTAATATGACAAAAAACAAAAACAAAACTTTTAAAATAATACCTAACAATAGTTTTAACTTGAAAGCTATTTTTTTTATTAAAAATCATTCATTTAATATATACTTACCTATAGTAGATAGGTCGCAATGGAAATAATGTTGTGTTTCGACATTATTTTATGTTTTAATTAATTTGTGGCACTTAAGTTAAGCAATGATAAAGCTTTATTTATTCAAATAATAATAGTATGTTCTCTCTGCTGTCATCAACATATACACAGTGGGTTTTAAAAACCATACACTGCAGGATCTAGCAGGTTGACAGAACGATACGGTAATACAAAAAATCATTTTAATTTTAAGATTTGATATCATTATCATATCATTTTTCCTTTCAATACCTATATCATCCATAATACTACACTAGAGAGAAGTTCACTACTTTAAAATCGTCTATATTATTTACCTCTTGTGCGAACAGTGTATTTTTATAATTCCATGTTTCAAAATTTGCATAGGTAGGTAAAGCCAAATTCAAAATTTGGTTACTTATTTAGTTTATGACAAGGTACTTATTAAGGTTGGCGAATAATGAATATACGTCTATACCCATTTCCAGTTATTTTTTATATTGGTACCTATGTATAAATCTATTATGAAATTTAAGCTGTATTATCTGCGAACAAATTATTAATTTATTAATTAGGTGGGTAACTAGGTCATGCGTCATGAATAATCATAATGTAATTAATAGGCTATAAGCAAACAAATCAGTGAATCACTCTGTATAATTTGTATGACTTATCTAGAAACTTCAAAGCCGAATCATGAAGACTACAGAGATAAACCTCAGGTTTATACGTCACCGTGGTACAGTGGTGTATCCAGGATTTTTTTTCGGAGGGGGCTAATCAATTTTTTACACAGCGGTGGTTTAGTTTTTGATCGAATACCATAGACTATATTAAAATGATTTTTAAATTTTATTAACATTTCGGGGGCCCCTCAGCCTCCCCCCTGGCTACGAAACTGCCGTGGTAGCGGCTCGGTGCAGGTGGTTTGCGTAACCACTATCCAGTAAACTTATACCTAGTACATTTGTGCATCACATTTAATCACAATAATTTTTAATATTTAATTGTAATATTGGGTATTTTAGGTTTTTGAAATAAATAATCAATATATTAGTGAATGACCTATTCAGGCTGTTGCATATATCTCATATTTTGTTAGTGATAAAATTACGATTTATACACCTAGTTAATGATGAGCTATTAAAGCAGTAAACTTTTAAAAAAAAACAAGCCTATAATTGGACTTCTATCACAGATTAAATTTTATTTTATTTAATCTGTGCTTCTATCATAGGTACCCAATTATTAATTAATATTATTTATCAAAAGAAAACTTGACAATTTTTATCAACATGAATACTTTCAGAAACGTTTTACCGAGTGGCGATTTTATTTTTCAATATTTACTTAATATTATTTTGTACTATCTGGAACTCTTATTTCTTAAATTCTTATTATAACCAACTGGAACGAACGTAAAGGCTATTATTACGAACCGGAACGGCGTCTCGTGCGTTCCGATTTATTTCGAGCACTGGACACAGGTCTATATAGCCTGTATTACTTCATTACTTCATTAATTTATAAATATTTTTAAGAGCAGTACAAATACTTATTTAAAATTATGTTTTCATATTTTATTTTAAAGTAACTATTAGTAGTTATAACTTATAACTTACATTAAACATCTAACCATACGTCCATACCATATAGGTAATTAGAGTTTCGACACTTTTACCAATATTTCTATTTTTTGCAGTGTTTCTATAATTAGCCAATTTTACAATGAAATGTCTACGTATTGTTATATAAATCTAATGCCTAATATTTTTTGTCATAACCACCTTATGCTCATCGCAACCAACAAATGGTTATTATTTTTAAATGTATGCTTATAGCTTGGCGCTTATTCTGCTCTTTGTAATCAAAAAAAAAAATCTTGATTTATAATCTAAGTACCTAAACTTTTCATGAACAAAGTAGTCACAACAGACTACAATTTACAATCTTAATTGGCTTGAGTTTAATTAAAATATATATTGAATTTCAGAATGGATGTTATTTTAAATTATTTAGTTTATTACTTTTACATATTATATAACAATAACTGGGTTATATATGTTGGAATATATTCATAGCAAAGCATAATTTATAGTAAATTATAATATAGATGCAAAATCTCAATTAATACAACTTAAATGTTATATAAATATATGATACACATAATGATTTTAATTTTACAACTCAAAAAATCTGTGTAATTATTACAATGCTAAAATAATATAATAAATTCCTATACCTAATATGCAAAGTTTATTTGTTAGTTGCTACTCAAACAACTTAGACCCTACTGTACTTTATTCAAGTTAATAAATACAGTTGGCAGCCGACTTGTTCGCAGGGATTTGGCAATACTATATAGCAGGTATATAGATAGTTGACTTGGTAGGGGTTACAAATGGGTGTTGTCTCACTGCTGTACGCAATAACTGGTCACCGCTGACTAAAGTTTTTTAACTTGGAAAAAGTAGCTGCTCAACAATAAGGGTTTTCTCAACAACAAGACTTTTTTCTGTTAAAAGTGAACCATTAGGATTAAATTAGGAAAAACCAATTTAAATTATTTTATTTAACACTCTGTAAAATGACATGAATTAATTTTATTTAAAATACAAAAATATAGGGAGACACTCTACCTATAAAAGTAATAAAAAATCGGTATATCTAAAATTATTATTGTTTGGTTAAAGTATATAAGACAATCAAATATATATTAATTTATTATGCTGAAAGTAAAAAATTATTCAATTTTATTAAATAAAAATACCGGCATTCATGATACATATTATTAAAAGCATACAATGTTACTTCTTGGTGTAATATAAAATAGTAGACTAACACTTAAATAAATATTAAATTAAAAAATATATTAAGTATGACAAATAAGTAGAGAAACTCAATATATATTTATAATAAATAATAATAAATATTTAAAAAAAATTTCAGGCATTTAGTAATAATATACAATTGCAAAAATTTTTAAAAATTTGTGCATTTATGTAAAAATTAATATTGAAAAAATTATATATTACTATTTTTTTCAATAATCTACTCTTTTGTATTAACTATACCATTGTTTTTAATCATGTTTAGGAACTAATACAATCAATGTCAAACAATTTTGATGACACAATGGAGATCTTCAGCGGTAGGTCTGTGTTTTGCTGTGATCTTTAAAAATTTTCTAATCTTCCGGTAATAACCTGGACAGTTCCATGTAGTATTATGGGAACCTCTTCTAAATCGTACAATCTGTTTTAGAGGGCCACAATAAGCATCAAATAAATTTGTCATCATTGATGGAGGAACTAATGTATCTTCTTCGCCCGAAACAAATAATATTGGTACTTGCAGTTTGCCCATTTTCCAATTGGACATATACTTTTATAAAGTAAAAAGAGGATTAAAAATTAGATAATTTTTTAATATATTTCATTAAAATTACCTTATTCTTGTATAAAAATAAAGGGATGTATTTTAAAAGTTCAGAAGACATAAGTTCTGTTGCCATATCTGGTATACATGTAAATGTATTCTCAACAATTACACACCAGATTTTTTGGGTATATTCTAACCGAGCAGCTAAATCAATGGCAACTGCACCACCTATATAATAATATTCATGATTAAATATTTGTCAATGATTGGAAAAATATCCACAGAAAAATGAATTACCTAACGAACGTCCAAATACTATAATTCAACCAAGATTTAGATCATTACGAGTTAAAATAAAGTCTATTGCAGCACTTGCATCCATGTAGAACCCTCTTTCTGAAGGTGATCCTTGTGACAATCCATACCCACGATATTCCAGCATTACTATGTTGCACCTCAACTCATTATAGAAGCCCACTACATTGGTTAATCTATAAAAGCATTTTAAAATATTTTTAAAACCAATATACTTGAGTAAAATATTTCTCATACCTATGGCCCATGTTCCCTGCATTCCCGTGCAAGAATAAAATAGTTGGCACCATCTTAGAAAAATCCCCTGGTTGTTTAATCAAGAATAAGTGTAAACGTGTGCCATCTAAACTTTTGATGAATATGTTCTCATATGGTAGACCATACATTGATGGTTGAGGTACAAAAATACGAGAGTGATCAGGTAGGTCTGGATAATATAATAAGTAGTCTTCCGAATGGTAAACAAACCCTAAAATATATTTAAAAAAGGAAGAATTATATTGTTACACAATATTGGTGTGTACAATAGTCAATAATTAATAGAATGCATTTACTTACCGACAATACTCATAAGCAGAAATGATAGTGCCAGTAATCCGCCACAGAACCAGTATATCAAAAAAAATGTTATGACTGTGGCTCCAGCACTGAGGGCACTGAACGCCATGTAACATTTTGTCGACATAGTCCGCCACAGTGGCAGGCTTAGTTTGTCCTTGCGGACAAACCATGTTTGCAATCTTTCCATCTCGAGACAAGGCCAATTAGTGAAGAGCTACAATCAAAACACCATGAATTATTCAAGTAGATAATGTTGAGTACTGAAGGCAAGTATTCCTTGAAACGGTACTGAGGCCTGAGGGTAACAAATCTGAGAATATTTTACTTATGTACAGATGGAAGATTTTGAGACTTTAGTACTTAGAACTGCTTAAACATTTAAATCGCCGTTATTTGTCATTATCGTCGGGGTTTTACCTGTGAATCAAACGACGTTTTTTTTCCTCTTCGTTTTCTGTCCGCGTTCCATTTTACATAAACCAACAGACACCTCGGAGTGTGAGATTTGTGATTTTCGAGCCTTTGTGATTCACAATTAAAATCGGAAAGAAAAAATTTTAAATAATGTCTCCGAATATGATATAAAAAAAGTGTGTAAGTCCGACTAGTAGGCCGTAAAAAACTAAAAAGTAAATAAATAGGGAGAAAAAAAACAATCTCCGGCCCCAATAATCGCTATCAGAATACTTTATTTATATCACGATGCACTATAAGCTGGACGGTGTTATCTGCATTTTATATTATAAGGAAATTGAGATAACGAAATTGAACGGAGTGTACTAATCTTATATAGATCCAGTTCCGTCCGCTGTCCAGTACTGCACTATGCCACTATGGCAGCAGTGAACTAAAGGCTAAAGGCCACCAGTCTTTGCTCATTGTAGACAGTTTGTCGTCGTTTCATAATAACACCCAAGTACCCAACACGTACTGTTATCATGTCAAGACGTATTATATTATCATATCAAACCCATCATGGGTTCATGCCTTCATGGTTTCATGTGATCCATTGAGATACAAAATAAATAAATAATAAGCAATCTTTATAATCGTGATGAGTACAGAGTACAGACTAAATTAAATGATAATACCACAAAATAGATTCATGGGCCAAATATTAACTATATTTAAGCATAGACCCATTTATTTGTCTTCACATTTAAGCATGATTATTTTTCCCAGCCTCATCATTCATCAATATTAACTACTTGAATATCTATCGGAATATTCAAATATGCTCTGGACCCCACACTGAAGGTCAGAAAAAAGCCCAACAATATTAACTAAAGTTAATTAATATATTGTGGTGTCGAGGAGAATTTCTCCGTATCCATGGATACTCTGCTGAGTTACCTATGTTAAAATCTTGTAATCTATAGGTACTTATAAAATATCATTATTCATCTCAAATATTCTTCAACTGATAGGTAATATAACAACTTATGAAAACCTTGTATTAAATGTTCAAGCTTTTTGACCCAATAAAGAACAGTTATAGAAAAAATTTCAAATTTCAAATGTTTATAAAAAGCTGAAAACCATTCAAAATATTTTGAAAATTGTATAATGTGTAGAAAATTATAAAATAAACATGTGTATAAAGTATCTACGGACTACGGTTATTCGTTTTTGAATTATAACAAAATAAGAAAATCGTTGTATGAGAATTTGTTAATTTACGGGTAAATATCCGTGTCTCACTAAAAAATAAAATCTCTCTTAAAAAATAATTATACTCTTTTGTTTAAAGGGAGGAAAACTCAAAAAGGATCTATTGTATGAAAATTTCAAATCTTAGATACTGTGGATATAACTTTTTTTTTAATTTCCAGTTTCCAGAAACAATAACTTATGAGAAATTTGTTTTACATTTTCTAGTAGTTTGATAGAGACAAAAATTTTATCGACGACAATAATTTAAAAAAAAAAAAACTATTAAAACTACCTATTTACTAATATAGTTTTAATTTATTTCGTCATAATAACTTTGTCTATACAAAGCATGACGAAAAATCTTCGGTATTTATCTGACAATGATTTTGAACACTTATTAAAACTTATAAAATAGGTCTTTGATTTTGATTTTTGAACCGTTTTTTGTAAATCGTTATCACATCATTATCTTTATGGGTTATGGTCATGTTATCTAAATCTAATATTATTGCCGAGTGCCTCCGAACATAAAAACTTTTTACTATGCTATGGCCTATTGCCTTATGCCTATTTCCAGTTGTATATTTTAGAGTTATAAGTTATAACTTATTAGTCATTACCTATTTATCTGTCGGCTATCGGCAGTAAGTTGTCCCAAATACTATGTACGACAGTATATAATATTTGGTTGTTCACACTCCCAGAGTAAGTTCATTTTCCTCATTCCATAATGTGTGATATGATATTATTTCACTATTTCAGTACAATTTCCGAACCGTGTGCTAAAGAAACCCATTGCCATCATTGACGTTTGTTCAATTATTGCTTGTTTGGTACACAATTTATTGGAAAAATGTGCCGTTGTCTGTTATCCAAGCGCCTGCTAGTGGCAACTGTCGGCCGCATTTACGACGTTTCACACAGTCATCATCGTATCCAACGATTCTACTCGAATAGGAACGTGTTGAAATTGTATGAACGACAAATCATACAAAACATGTTTCCCGATAATTCTAGGTAAATAAAGTGAAAAATTAAATGTGGGTGGATGATTTTGAGAGCAGAAAACTTCCGAAATCATGACTACGAATTTAATTGTTCGCACCTAGTCTAGTATTTCAACAAAATTATTGTACCATTATTATTATTATTATTATTATTATTATTATATTCCAGTAATGAAATAATTGAATTATTGACAAAAAGAAACCAATGTGTTTATGCTGGATTCGACCCGACAGCAGACAGTTTACATATAGGAAACTTATTGGTCATTATAAATCTATTGCATTGGCAGCGTGCCAACCATAAAGTTATTGCATTGGTCAGTCATCCATTAATTAGTCGTTTTGTGAGTGGTCTTATAAATTGTTAAGTTATATTTTAATTTTTAGATTGGTGGTGCTACAGCTCAAATAGGTGATCCAAGTGGAAAATCAAAAGATCGAGATAAACAGTCTTCACAGACTTTATCCCATAACATTAAAGGCATTACCCACAGCCTACAATCCATTTTTGACAATCATGCAAAATACTTCTGGAAACAAAAAGATCCTCTACCAGAGCCAATGTGAGCATTTTGAGGTACTCTTGTTGACTTGGCTTGATTTTTTTATTAAAATAATTTAAAATTAATTGTTCAAGTTTTTTATGTGAGCTTTATTTTAGTAATAAACATTTACTGGTTTAAAATAATTATGATAATTTGTTGTTTCTAGAATAATTAATAATATGGAATGGTATGAAGGTATTGGGGTCATAGACTTCATGAACAATATTGGTAGACATTTCAGGATGGGTACCATGTTGTCCAGGGACAGTGTTAAGACTCGTCTATCTGGTAGTGGGATGAGTTTTACAGAGTTCACTTACCAGACTTTTCAAGCTTATGATTGGCTACATTTGTTTAAAAAATACAAATGTTGTTTTCAAGTCAGTATGACAAAATAATTTTTTTAAATTTTATAAAAAATATCTTTTTATTTTATATTAGTTAGGAGGAAATGATCAAATGGGTAACATTATGTCTGGTCAAGAACTAATTAGTCGACAAGAAAATGCTCAAGTTTATGGTAAACTAATTGTTTTTCATTAGTACATGATTCATGAATTATATACATAGTTATATGTTGTTTATATTTATTGTTTAACCATGGTTTAATTATATACTATTGAAACATTCTCTTTTTGTTGTTAAAATACTGACAAAACTTACAAAAAATTAAGTTTTATTTTATATTATATAAAAAATAGTTTCAATTATGAAATGTTAAGTTACTTATCGCCTACCAAATAATATTTATTTTATGGTAAACATGTATGTGCAAGCTATTAATTTCTCAACTATAAACTAACATAAAGCATGTGTAATTGTATAATTTTTTACAGGACTTACAGTACCATTAATAACCACAGACTCTGGGGATAAGTATGGTAAATCAGCTCAAAATGCTGTGTGGCTGAACTCAGATCGGACTTCACCTTTTGAACTATACCAATTTATGATACGCACAATAGATGCTGATGTAGAGAAACTATTAAAAATGTTTACATTCCTTTCACTGCCTGAAATAGCTGAACTGATGAGAAGACACAAAGTAAATATTAATAAAATATTAAAAGAATGATCACTTTTTAATTTTTTTGTTCAGGCTACTCCTGATAAACGAATTCCTCATGAATCATTGGCACGGCAAGTTACCACTTTAGTGCATGGAGGTATAGATTATAGTGTATATATTTTTAATTATCCTGTACTGATTATTGTGTCTACGTTTTTAGAAGAGGGTCTTCAAGAAGCATTAGTTGCAACATCGGCGTTATATGACAACAACATTGAAACCCTTAGTACATTGAGTGTTAATGATATTTTAAAAATATTTAATGGGGCAACTGTTGTTGAACTAATGCTAGAACCTGGCATTACTGTTCTGAAAATGGCAATGAATGCAAAATGTTTTTTGACAGATAGTAATATTCTTAATTTATTGTTTAAAATAAATAGAAAATTAATAATTATGTTTTTTTTTTCAGGAGATGCATATCGAATAATTTCAGCTGGTGGATTTTATATTAACCATCAAAGAATAACCAATATAGATGAAATTGTAACTTTGTCTATACACATTTTACCTAATAACATTTCTTTAGTAAGAGTTGGTTAGTAAAAATATTTATAAAAAGTTCTCTTAAATTAATTTTATGTCCAAAAAATCAAGAGGTAAAAGAGAAATAATACAAAGAACTAAAAAAATTATCTTCTATTATAAATATTTTAGTACATTGTAGTATCCTAAATGTATCATTTTCTCCAAAAAAATTAAATTTTAAACTCATTAAAGAAATTTATTGTTTACCAATATTTTCAACCTTGTTGATTTCTTAGACTATCATAAAAGTTATTTAAGTATAAATGTTTAATGTATTTTACCAATTGTAGGTAAACGGAACTACTGGATTGTCAAGTGGATAATGTGAAATGAGAAGTATAGATCAAGACTGCTGAGAAAAAAGAATTGATATACTAGACAATAAAAATACATTTTTGAAAAACATAAATAAATTGTTTATTTCAAAGTCCTTTCTCATAATATTAAGATCTTAAGTCTTGCGGTATAAATAAATATATTAATAAATAAAAAAATTATTATCAAGTTGTAAAAACAATTTAGTTACTTGGAAAATAACTTAAACCGCGTATTAGACATAATCTGCATTCATAAAATTGGAACACAGTAGATACAGTCTTGTTCCAAGCAATAGTAAGTAAATAACAATATTTCACAATAATTACAATTTTAAACAATTTGTTTGGAAATAAATATAATTACAAACATTTTCGTACCCCACAGTAAAATAAAAAAGAAATCAGCTTTTAGTTGATTTTTTTAACTTTGTATTTTCTTTACGTAATAAGACATTGACATTGCAATTGGAAACACAAAGTATTCTAGTATGCTATGTTTGTATGTCTAAAAAGTAAAAGATTTATTAATTTAAAATTCGACACATGATAGTGTGAATGGAAAAAATTAAATCTTATGGCATATTTAATTCATCATGAGAAAAATATTTCATACATTATTAGGGTACACAATTGATAAGTAATATTATCATGTTTTACCAAATATATGATTCATTATAAATTAAAGGTTGACAATTATGTAATCAACTGCTATTGATTTGAAAATATTCATTGATAAGATTTTAGAA